GTAATTTATCAAAAGACAACCCCGGAGTTTCGTCTTCCTAACGTGCCGATCACCGACGAGACTATGTTAGCCGGTTGAATAGCATTCATATAGCACACTTTTCCCAATGCAAATCAACAATATATAGAACAGCAACTTTGGTGTAGGTCAAAGTTCAATGTGCGCAATTTGGACAAACGCGACGTAAAACAGCGTAACGTGTCGCGACCAGCGAACGAAATCGACATTATTAAAAATTTAATTACGATCTAGTTTCGAACGCTAATTAAATGAATGCGTAATAATTAGTGTAGCACGTGTGGCCACCATTTTGTTTCGAACACAAATGTGAGCGTCGTGCGTCCGGCATCACGCAACTCAACAGCTGCTCATCCGCGTACTATGTGCATTTATCTGATCTTTCACATCGCTTCGCATCTTGTACCATTTGTGCCGTGCCCTATATAGAGAGGTATCTACTTGTACCTTCGACCATGAAATTAATATGTGTGACATTCAGTACCAACCTCAGTTAGTTATTGTGATACTTGCACGCGTAAAACTTTTCTGGGCGAAGCCTGTTGCGAAACCCAAAGAAACACAGTTGCCCAAGACCTATATGCTCCTCAGAAAGAACCAATATAAGTGCGAGATAAAAATGTTAATGTTCAAATGTTTATACTAACTGCTTATACCATGGGAACAACGTCATTGCTCTCACTCCGCGAAAAATTGCAGCAACATACCTAAAGCGCGCTATCGTAGTATATGATAGCAATACATAAAATGTGTATAAATAGTTATATGCTACCGTAATTATATGTCGCACAGAATACACTATAAAGATACGTATAACGCAAGCTTGAGCTGTAACTATAGTGTGTATGCGGTACACGATATCTTATAAAACAGGCATGAACACATCCGTGCGGCCGCAGATTTCCGTACGGTATTTACGATGACGACGCGTAAATAAAACGTGAGCGTAAACGTTTCCGCGCGTGAACTTCCCGCCATTGTCTGCAGTTACGGCTCGCCTGGTATATGTATACGGCACGCGTAATTCATGCCAGTGCGATTACGTATAGGGCTCCCGCTCGCGGCCCTCGTGCGTTGAGACGTCACATAAGCTTCCCCTAGCTTTCACATGCACAAGCACGCACACACGCGCGCGCCCTCGGAACATGCGTTCACATGCCCACACATACGCACGCACGCACACGCACACGCACACGCACACACACACACACACACACACGCGCGCACACACACACGCACACACAACCAACAGCACAACATCACACCCACACACACGGCATATATATATAAATTATATATATAATATAGTATATATCAAGATACATTGTACCGTACCGGCGAAGCAACAATTACTGAGACAGCGCTATATGTACATATAGGCCTATGCATATATATCAGGAAGTTAATAAAGACAAATTGTCTTATTAACTCGGCTGATATAGTAATATATATATATATATATATATATATATATATATATAATATATATTTCGGGGCGCGAGCTGGTGTGGTGAGGGCGGAAGCATCACAGCGTTACTGTCGAAATTTGTGAATAGCGTCCAAATGCTTTATCCCTCCGATGTCTTCTCAACAGTTTCATTGTCTATGTAGCGCGCGAAGCACATCGCGGAATCAATCGGCGAACGTAAGCCGGCTATATACACCCACACACACCACACCACACACAGCACACACACACACACACACACACACACACACACACACACACACATATATATATATAAATATATATACCGGATATCGGACATCCGAAGCGGGTTCGGAAAATGACCGGGTTCCTATGCATCTTCACTCGCTACTTAGGTTTTGCATATGAGGAAACGGGCATTTTCCTTCGAGATTCCTTTTCCGTTGTCCGGGACCCGTGCGGGGTGGGGAAGAATCGTACATTGTGCGACGCTGGCAGGAAGGGCACTCGCGGCGCTCAGATCCGATTCCGGAAAACCGGTATCCGGAAAACCGGTGTCCGGGCTCCTTCACTATATAGGTGGCCTCTCTCGCTCTGAGGCGGGCTCTCTCGTTCTCTTCCTCCGCCATCCTTCCTACACTCGCTTCTGCTATTGCTGGCTGCTGCACGGAGCCGTATCGCGCGCGATACTCGCGTTTTACGTTCGGTACTTATCAACGTCGGAAATCTATTTTGCAATTTTGATGAAATCGCGAATACTACAGCAAGCCGGCTCGTTCGCTCGCTATTAGAAACCAGAGACGTTTCCTGCGGCGAAATCTTGCGTGTGGCTCCGGATATCTCGGAGACGACTTGATCGCTTTATCGGGTGAGGAAACGTCGGTAACGAGCAACAAATTAATGAAGATGGAAAACAGAAACGACGCGGTTTATGCGCGGAAAACGCAATTAGTCGCCGGTTCGTGCCGTGTTTTACCTAGCGTCACGGCGCTGGAACTACACACAACGACGAGAGACATGCTAGAGAACGAACCGCCGTGCTACACGCGCGCGGCTGCTGAACTAAAAACTCACTACACATCACAACATACTCGCTCTCGCGTATATATACACACACATACACACACACACACATATATATAAATATATATATAAATATATAATATATAAATACATATATATATGTATATAGAAATATACGTACAAACAACGGAGTTTTAAGCATAGGGCTTTCATCCGCTCCTCATGCTTAAAACTTCCTTGTTTGTACTTTTATTTCTATATATAATCGCCGGATATTGTGATATCAGAACTTTTCAATATTATATGTATATATATATACAACCATGGTTGTTGTTGTGAAGCCTGGGGAAGAGACATGTTCTCGAAAGCTCAGAAAATAATATATTTACATTATATTTTTATATTCATATTTATGAATAGTTCATATGCTACCGTACATCATATGTCGCAACAGAATCACACTATAAAGATACCGTAACGCAAGCTTGAGCCTGTAATCATAGTGATGTAAGCGGTACACGATATCTTATAAAACAGCGCATAAACACATCGTGCGAGCCGCAGATTTCCGTACGGTATTTACGATGCACGACGCGTAAATAAAACGTGAGCTTAAACGATTCCGCGCGTGAACTTCCCGGCCATTGTCTGCCAGTTACGGCTCGCCTCGTATATGTATACGGCACGCGTATCTGCCAGCTGCGATTACGTAGCGGCTCCGCTCGCCGGCCCTCCGTGCGTGTGAGACGTCACATAAGCTTGTCCCTAGCTTTCACATGCACAAGCCAACGCACATTACGCGCGCGCGCCCTCGGAACATGCGTTCACATGCCCACACATACGCACGCCACGCCACCACGCACACGCCACACGCACACACACACACACACACACCACAACACACACACACCACACACACCACACACGACACACACACGCATATATATATATAATTATATATATATATATATATATCAAGATGACATTGTCACGTACGCGCGAAGCACATTACTGAAGAAGCGCTATATGCTACATATAGGCCTATGCCATCAATATCTAGGAGTTAATAAGACAAAATTGTCTTTATTAACTCCTGATATATATATATATATAATATATAGATATATATATAATATATATATATATATTCGCAGCGAGCTGGTGTGGTGGAGCGGAAGCATCACAGCGTACCTGTCGAAATTTTGAATAGCGTTCCATCTTTATCCTCCCGGATGGGATGTCTTCTCAACATTTCATTGTCTATGTACGCGCGGAAGACTCGGGGAATCACTCGCGGAAAGAAGGCGTCTATACACACACACACACACACACACACACGACACCACACACACACACACACACACACACACAACACACAATCACACACACACACACCACACACACACTATATATATATAAATATATATACCGGATATCGGACATCCGATAGCGGGTTCGGAAAATGACGGGTTCCTATGCATCTTTCACTCGCTACTTAAGGTTTTGCATAATGCAGGGAAACGGGCATTTTCCTTCGAGATTCCTCTTTCCGTTGTCCGGGACCCGTGCGGGGTGCAGGCGAAGAATCGTACATTGTGCGACGCTTGGACAGGAAGCGCACTCGCGGCGCTCAGATCCGATTCCGGAAAACTGGTATCCGGAAAAACCGGGTCCGCGGCTCCTTCACTAATAGGTCGGCCTCCCTCGCTCTGAGGCGGGCTCTCTCAGTTCTCTTCCTCCCACCATCCTTCCTACATCGCTTCTGCTATTGCTGGCTGCTGCCACGGAAGCCGTATCCTGCGCGCATTACTCGCCGTGTTACGTTCGGTCTACTTATCAACGTCGCGAAATCGATATTTGCAATTTTGAATGAAATCGCGATTACAGCAAGCCGGCTCGTTCGTCGCTATTAGAAAACCAGAGACGTTTTCCTGCCGGCGAAATTCTTGCGTGTGGGCTCCGATATCTCGGAGACGACTGATCGCTTATCCGGGTGAGGAAAACGTCGTAACGAGCAACAACATTAATGAAGATGGAAAACAGAAACGACGCGTTTATCGCGCGGAAAAACGCAATTAGTCGCCGGTTTCGGGCTGCCGTGTTTTACTAAGCGCACGGCGCTGGACTACACACAACTGACGAGAGAATGCTATTGGAGAACGAACCGCCGTGCCTCACTCGCGCGCGGCGCTGAACTAAAAAACTCACTACACTTCACACATACTCGCTCTCGCGATATATTATACACACACATACACACACACACACATATATCATAAATATATATAGTATATATATATACATAATATGTGTCAGTGCGCGCGACGTGTGTGTGTGCCGTGTGTTGTTGCGTGTGTGTTGAGAGTGCTGTGTGACTCTGGTGTGATTATGTGTGTGTGTGTGTGTTGTCGTAGTGTCGTGTCGTATGTGCGCGCGTGCCCTGCGGTGGAGTGCTGTGCTCGTCGTGCGCCGTGCGTGTGCGTGTGCCGTGGTGCGCGTGCTGTATGTATTATATATGAATATACGATACCTGAAGGTGTTGCGGCGTCGTGCCAGTCCTTGACGAGCAAGCGGAAGGAGAAACGCGAGTGTCTCCGGCAATCGTCGCTGTTCGAATGCAGCAGCCGCAGCGCCCGGGATTCTCCTCGCCACTGCGCGCCGCTGTGACGTTACAGTTCGTCTGTGCCGCCGCGTTTACCGACAGACGGCCCGTTAGCGCGCGGTGGGCTGAGCCAGCAGCTACTGTCTCCGATTTCTGTGGTCGAAATCCGGGACGCGACTTGGTTCGTCTCATCAATAATGCATTCGCATGGAAATTAGCCCGGCTCAGTACGTACGTAGGCGCGACGCGAGCGCGCAGCCTATCAGCTGCCTGCTGGGGTGTGCCTGCGTGTGTCGCCGACCCTCGGTGTGCGCTGCGCGCGTGTGTGGCGCTCGTGTGTGTACGTATGCGTGTTCGAATTCCCTGTTGTGCGCCTGCGCGATGTGTGTGTGGTTGCGCGCGCGCGTGTGTGGGTGATGTACGTATGCGGTGCGTCGCGGGCGCGCGGTGTGCGTTGCGTGCGCGAGACGCCTGTGGTGTGGTGTCGTGGTACGTTGTGCGGCTGTCTGTGTGCGCGCGCGTCCGGGTTATGTGTGTGGTGGTGTACGTGTCTGCGTACTGTGTGCGTGCGTGCGTGTCGTGCTACGTGATAGTGTGTGCGTGTGTGTGGTGTGGTGTTACGTGGTGCGGCGTGCTCGTGTGGGGTGTGCGGTGTCGGGCGTGGTGTGTGCTGCGCGTGTCGTGTGCGGTGCGGGCGCGCCCTAATGTGTGACGTGTGGTTGTGTGTGTGTGTTGTGTGGGGGGTGACATCGACGAGGGCGGTGTTTGAGTGCGTGTGCGTGTGCGGGCGTTGACGTTAACAATCGACCGATTCCATCGCATGCCACCGTGTTGGTGAGTGGGCGTGTGCGGGCGTCTCGTGCGCCGTCGTATGCTGGCCCGGCCGTGCGTGTGGGCCGCCGTGTGTGTGCTGGTGTCGGCCACCTGTGTGTGCCGGTTCTCGCGTGTGTTGGACGGGTGCGTCCGTCGCGTGGGCGTGTGCGTGATGCGTGGCGCGTGTTGGTGCTGGCCGTAGTGCGGGGCAGACCGTGTGTGTCTTCGTGGCCGGGTTAGGCGCGTGCAGCAGCGAACGAAGTCACGACCACAAGACGTAGCTAAACTGCGAGAATGCGCGAGTTGCCGCACAAAGCGCGGGGAGCAGCGCAGTACGGGTATGCTGCCGCAAGTCGTTTGCCAGACCGCATGTAGACAACGAACGGCAGTCGAAATCCCGAACATTATCGGGCAGAAAAGGGTTGAGGATGCTGGATAAAATCTCCTGCCTTGCCTTAAAACCTATAGGCCTATATATATAGATATCATATATAATATAATTATATATATATATATATATATATATTATCAGGAGTGAATAATAATATATAATCTATTATTATTCACTCCCTCCTGATATTATATATATAATTATATACAACTATATAATAATTTGTTCGTGGGCGCACGTTATCTACAAAACTAATTTATAAGCAGTATTAGTGTTTTTATGAGCACGGCAGAGATTCATCAGCCATCTCATTACTTGTGCGGGCTCGCCATACCAACACTAACGCCATCTTCTTTACGAAAGATATACTTGCTACATCACTAGGTAATCTTCTCTCATTTGCGCATATATATATATATGTATATATACCCTATAATTAATTACGGAAACGCGCTGCAACACAGTTTGATTGTTACACTCGGTCTTCAATAGATGAATTCGCTGTTAACTGTTGAAGGAGGTGACTGCTAAACGCCTCGCATGTGTCAATCCGTTTGCCACGTCAGCCGTAGTTACAGAGGGCCGTCTGTCTACATGCGCAGTATACGGTAGGTAGATAAAGATAGATAGATAGATAGATAGATAGATAGCACAGATAATAGAATAGATAGATAGATAGATAGATAGATTAGATAGATAGATCAGATAGATAGATCAGATGAAAGATAGATAGATTGAGAAGATAGATAGATCAGATAAATAGATAGATAGACTAGATAGATAGATAGATAATAGATAGAATAGATAGATAGATAGCATAGATAGATAGGATAGATGATTAGAATAGATAGCCGTAGCGTAGGCTGCGTAGATAATAATAGATAGATAGATAGATAGATACATCAGATAGATAGATAAATAAATACGAGAGATAGATAGAATAGATAGATAGATAGATAGCATAGATAGATAGATAGATAATAGTAATACATTTTTTTTTTTTTTTTTTTTTTTTTTCGATCGATAGATTGAGATAGATAGATATATAGATAGATAGATAGAATAGAATAGAAGATTTAAGGGGGGAAACTTAAACGATAGGGATTTTAAAGATTAGGATAGATAGATAGATAGATAGATAGATAGATAGATAAATAGATAGATAGATAGCATAGATAGATAGATAGATAGATAGCCATAGATAAACAGACAGTATAGATAGAGAATAGAATTAGATTTAGATTAGATAGATAGATAGATAGATAGATAGATAGATAGATAGATTGATTAGATTAGATAGATAGATAGATAGATAGATAATAGATGCATAGATAGATAGTAGATAGATAGATAGATAGATAGATAGATAGATTAGCCAGAGATAGATAGATAGATAGATAGATAGATAAGATAGATAGATAGATAGATAGATAGATAGACAGATAGATAGATAGATAAATATATATATATATATATATATATATATATAATAATATAGATAGATAGATGATAGATAGATAGATAGATAGATGTTAGATAATAATAAGATAGATTAGATTAGATAGATGATATGATAAGGTAGTAAGATAGATAGATAGATAGTAGATAGCATAGATAGATAGATATACGATAGACACCACGTGTGACACGCGCGCACACACACGTCACACACACAACACACACACACACACACACACACACACACACACACACACACACACACACACACACACACCACACTCACGCACCGCACACATGCACGCACTCACGCACCCCCCTTCCCATATATATATATA